CCCTCGCCCTACCAGGCTGGTGCTAGAGCTCCCAGTGTGGAACACCGACTAACTGCTAAGCACTTTCTATGCCTCGGCTCCCAATGTCCATGCAAACCAGTAAGGTGGCTCCCCACTTCACCAGTGTGTGGCCTTGGGAAAGCCACTGAGCCTCACAGGGCTCTGGTTTCCTCATCTGTAAATGGGCTGATCAGTCTATTCCTGGTAGGGATGTGGTGAAGACTGAATGAGGTAGTCCACACAAAGCTTTTGGACCAGTGCCTGCCACATAGTAAAACTGCAACATTAGCTGCTGTTTTTATTATGGTAGGATTTATCAGTCCCACTATGGGTGTGAAGTCTGAGGCCCATAGAAGCTAAGTGACCTGGCCAAAGCCGCACAGCTAGAAGATGGTGCCACGATCCTCCCCAGGTCTGCTTGCCTTGTCCTCAAAGGCAAGCAGGTCTCCTGGGCCTACCTGGAAACACTGGCCCCTGGAGGTGCTTTTTGGGACAAGACCTTCTTTTCCTGAGGGGTTTCAGGAAACAAGGTCTCTGCAGGGAAGGAACCCTAACAGGCCATACTCAAATGCCTTTGGTCTCTCAGGTACTGCTTTAAGAAATTTTGGAAGGGAGCCCAGCTTCAGGTTGGGCCCAGAAGGCAGGTGTCGGGTTTGGGGTCATGGGGGCAGAGGAGGGTTGGAGATAGGTCTTGACCTGCTACAAACACCAGCAATGCCTTCCCAGACAGATTACAAAATGTGGCCACAAGTACCCCAGGGAGGCTGCAGATGCATCTTTTACTAAGATCCCAGGGGACTAGGCACTGGCCAGGCCCAGGCAGGTGAGGGGAAGGACTGAGGAGGCCTGGCTGAGGGTGAGCTGCCCGCTGCCCTGCTCTCTGGGTTGGAGAGGGACTGCTCCCAGGGATACCCACCCAGGGAGCCAGCTGGGAGATGCATTATACCCCCGCAGGGCCAGGATTCCCGCTCCACCCCACCCCCGCTGTTGGTCAGCACATTCGTCATGCTGCCTGTCAGAGGGCGCGGGTTTGGCAGCTGCACCTCTGAGGGTGTCCAGGTGGCACGTGAAAGCCATGGAATTTTACAGCCACTTTTACTCTAGTGTAATGTCACTCTAGGCATGAGGCTATATTGCAGCAGGCAATTTAATTTTGAGGTTCTAAGCCCTTAAGAGATGTTTAGACACAGAAGTTGCTGCAAGATCGGCGATGCAGCAGAAATGTGTTGGGAAAGACGCAGGGAACGTTTGTGTTAGGATCAAAAGTCCTTCTAGGGCCGGCCCGGTGGCGCACTGGATAAGTGCGCCGCTTGGGAAGCGCAGTGGCGCTCCCGCCCGAGGGTTCGGATCCCACATACAGACCGGTTCCCGCTCACTGGCTGAGCGAGGCGCGGGGGCAACACCGAGGGTTGCGATCCCGCTGTCGGGCCCCGGTCCGGCACGGGGGCCACACCGCGGGGTG